TTTATATAGGATCCAAAATAGAAGTTCAGAATGTCAGAACAAATGGAGAGCACATGTTGAAACAATGTCTATTGCCAGGGCCGGTGTCCTGAACGGAAGAGAAAGGGCAGCAACTGGGCGAGTAACCGGAAGGGAAATGGCCTTTCTGTTCACAATGAACATGTGGTGTGTGCCGCTTCCATGCTAGTACTCTGCCTATCTTAGGGCAGAGCTTACGAAGATATTTATGTTAATTATGTTGTAAACTGATTTTGAGATTATTCGTCCTCACACTGCTTATGAAAAAGGTTTTTCTTCCTGAGACATTACCCACAGACATGTGGCCATGGAGCCCTGAATGTGGCTGTTATGCCTAACGCTGATGAAATATTTAAGGATTTCTTAACAAGAATTAAAGCCCTGAGGATTCTGTTAGAAATGTGGCATTTATATTTGTTGTGCGATCTCATGGGGAAAACATATCTTATGGGAAAAACTAATTGTATTTGTTATACCAATAACCATAGACATAGGGAATCGGAACCTTACATAAACATTTATCACAAATGGAAACATTTGGAGTTGAATATCTTCTGCCTTGGAGCTTCAACCAAGTTTCTCTTGGGCTTCTTATCTTACAAAATTAAAAAAGAGCTATGATCTTTTTAAAAAGTTAGGTTATTCTTGATTGCTTTTGATAGAACTATGAATTTGATGGCAGGTCCAGTTGGTTAACAACCTTGTTACCATGGCAGTACCCTAAAGAAGCACTTCAAAGTTTTATTCAAAAATCACCTTCAGCAGAATAATCTTAGTTTGTGTCATTCAAAAATGCAATTTCCAGGCATCATTTCTGACCCCTTCCCCAATGAATTAGAGTCCTGCTGGGGAGCAAAGAATTAGTTGGTATTTTGCTTACTAACTTTTGAAAAACACTGTCCAAGAAATGTGATGAATTTGGGCAGTGACCTTGAAAAATGAAAATTTTAGAATAGCTGTAGTGAAAACTATTAAATTTCCAATTTAATGATTAAAATATTTTTTTCTATAATAGTTATCATAGTAGTGGACTAGTAGGAAGATAGAAACAATTGCATTTGTTGAAAGAGCAGATGGGTTCATGGAGAGGTTAGCAGGGAAAGATTAATTTACCAAGAGTGAGTGTGCAAGCAGTGAGAAAGAACGTGGGGGCCACCAGTTCCAGAACTACTGAGTGGTAGTTCAGGCTCATGGCCAGTGGGAGAGGAGGGTTTTCAAACCACAATCACTTGGAAATGGTAGACTCATTTCTTAATCCCTGTGTATCTCCATAGCATCATATGTAGAATGGAAATAAAAATATGTGAGAGTAAAATTCAAAAGTATATACTTTTCTGTTATTATTTCTTACCTTCACATTCCCTCCTCCTCTGTTCTTGCTCAGATAGATATGGAAGCAGATTGGCTTATTGTGGAATTAATGTTTAATATGCAAAAGTATAGATAATTCTGGACTGCAGCCCCATGTTATTCCAGGTTATTTTCATTATACTTTAAAATTTAAAAATGTCATTTACATTTTTATATTTTAAAAGTGTAATTTACCTCTGCTACAATAGATTCATAGGTACAGTAGTCTCAAATATTATCACAATTTATACTCTTGTATGGTTTTCTCAGTAATCTGTTCTCAGCTTCAGTCTGGTTTTGCCATTTATGGGCTGTATGATCTCGGCAAACCTCTTAAAATGGTTCCTTTCATTATCTATGAAAACAACATATTGTGAACATTAAGTGACAATCTGTATATTTTACAACTATGCCTAGAATGTGTAAGCACACAATAAAAGTGAGTCCCTCTGCCATACCAACACTCTTGCTCTTGGAATGGTAGTATGTTGTGAAGGCATGTCCCACAGAGGAACAGGTGTCTGGCTTTGGTACTACTCCTGCATCCCCCGACTCCATCCCACAACAGAGCCCTATGTCATAGGAAGTAAAATTTTCTGTAGTCTTATTAGCACCAATGGTTATGAGTAAGTGGTATTGGGATAATATATAGAGACTCAGTTCTTCTTCCTAGAATGAAATTTAAAGTTAAGTTTAGTTAACTGAAAATTTATTCAATAAAAACTAGAGGAGTTCAGGTATAGTAGAGCCTTTTTGTAAATAAGTTCACATCATATATATGCTTATAATGTTTCACCGTAAGCCTTTAAAATAGATGAGAGGCCATAACAGTAAAATACACATATCCAATAAGCCTGTTAAAATGGAAGTTAAAAAATTTTAAACTATTTAGCAGGAGCAAGTGAATATAATAATCACTTAAACTGATAAAATTGTTGTGATTGAGGCTTCAGTTTAGCTCCAGTGTTCCTAGATAAAATAACTGCTTATTTACCAACTGCCCAAAGGAACAGCCAGAAATGATGATTACCATCATGCATCTTATTTAGCCAATGGTTTTTGAGTTCTGACAATGTGTTAGCCATGGTGTGAAGAATCATGGAGGCAGCAAAGATAACTGGGGCAAAGTGACAAAGCTCAAGGGAAAGTTCCTAGTGTGGGTGTTGGGCAGTAAATGATAAGCAAACCAAGAAGAGTATGTCAGTCTAGATGATTGACAGCTTTGGATTTACATTGGGGAGTGTATCCTTAACTTTTTATGTACTGACCTAGTTCTTAAATGTCCAAGTTATTTTAATAATTGTAAATAACTCATGCATATAATGTTAGTACCATCAGGAAATATCACTGTTCATTTAAGGATAAGAACTTGAGACAGTGATTGATTCAGTTATCTGTCCTTTGTTTCCTAGTTTATTAGAGTCTGAGCAAAAAGCATCTATATGTTCAGCATTGTACAAACTCAAATGTGTGAAAAAGTCATAAATATAGGAAATACAGTGCTGGAGATCATTTGGTTTTCAAAATGATTATTTGCTTTACAGAAGGATTCTTTGTAAATATTCTTAAAATGCCAATCTCCTCTGTTAACTTGACCATTTGATTAAAATTCTTAAAACTGGATTTTCACTTCAGAAATATGAAAAGCAAAACATGAAAATATTTTTCGTAAAGATGTATATGGGAACAGATTTGGGTTATATATTTAGACAGCCTTTGTATCATTGGATTAAGAGGGGGTAATTTTAATGCCCATGCTTTCATTATAAGTAATTATATACAGCCTTGGAAAGGATAATTTAATATTTTTTAATGAACATAAAGGAAAATGTTGAATAGAGTACATAAAAAATATTGCATCTGCTTTCAAAAGTTTTGTTAGGATATTACCTTTTTACTTTTTCAGTTTTAGACCTAAATTTCCCAGTAGGATTCCCAGGTCCAAGCACAACAGCTGAAACAGAAAGGCCTTACCTCATGAAGCAAAATCTTGCTGGAATGTTTGGCTTAGAGAGTGTCTTGTTTGTGCTTAGAGAGTGTTTTGAAATAGAAACAAAAATTACTCTGCAAACTTAAAAGAGGACACTGAAATTAGATAGGTTGAAATATTAAAGCTTGAGAAATTTTTCTATTTCTTCTTCACCCCATTCATTATACACACTTACATAAATTTCTTTCTATTGGTAAGTCCAAAGCAGCCAACATCATTCTAGAAAAGAATGCCAATTTTGCCTTTTCAAAACTGGAATATTTAACTACCTAGTACTGACAGTAGTATGCAGTTTGTCTGTGTCTAGAGTGTTTAGATATTACTGTGAACGGACAGTCTGTCAAGTCCAGAAGCCTAAATCTGGTAGAAATATTCTTTTGAAAGTTATTCCTAAGGTCATTGATTCTCAAACTTTAGCATATATCATATTCATCTGGAGGACTTTAACACAGAGATTGATAGGCCCCATCCTTTAGAATTTCTGGTTCAGGAGGATTTAGTTGGGACCCAAGAATTTGTTTTTCTAACACAAGCCCAGGTGATGCTAATGGTGCTGGTCTGGGAACCACACTTTGAGAACCACTTGCTTAGAAAGATGGGTCTTCAGAAAAATATTAGGACTTATTTGGGACTTAGTACACACAGTTTTGCTGTTCGTTTGTTTTTGCCCTGTACTCTGCATAATAAACTTTCATTTCAGTTGCTTTGTTATAATGCTAAGCATCTTGCTCTTTTTATCTAAAATATGATTTTTCTAAAAATTTTGAGGTTTCTATTTTAGATGAAAGGGATAATTCTTCATTTAATTGATAGAAACAAAATATATGAGATAATAAGTAGAGCTATAAAAATGAAATATCATTCTGATGTTTTTGTCTGCAGAAATTTGATTTTTTTCAATCAATATGAATCTTCTGGAACATGGAATTTGATAAGTTTCAGAAATAAGTATTTGGTTTTTGTTTCAGAAATTGGCTTTTATTTTAATTTAATTATTCTCAGATCTGTATGTATATATGTGTAGTATCTGTGTGTTTTGTAGGTAAGTTGCAAAACAATGGTAACCAATAAGATTGCTGGACCTTGGTCATGCTTCTTCCTCAGGTTTCCTGAAAGCTTACACTTTGTCCAATGATAGCTATTAAGACAGCTATTAATTTGTCTATATCAGTAGCACATTTTGTCTGCTCTCTTTGCCTCCATTGTTCCTGTGGCTCCATCTTTCCTCATTTTTCAGGATCTTGAAATTTATTGTTTCCTTTTACTCTAATCCATGCATCTCCCATCAGTATAAGGCTGGTATGGATCTCTTATTGATGATCCTGACATAGTTCTTACAGTGACTACCAGGACAGGGAATATCCTTACAGTGTTTCTTAGTTGGGAAAATGGATTGGTCTTATCCCTTCAAATTCCAATCCCTGACAGATTGTTTATTTACCAGTTTCTTTAATTTCTTAGAAAAATTGGTACAGTAGTCTTTAGTGTCTAGAATATAAGGCTGTTTGATAACACATTTTAAACACTGTTTCAGCTGTAATATGTGATTAATACAATTTCAGTCTCAGTTTCAGAGATCTGTTTTCCAATGTTTTGATACAGGGCTAGTGAAACTAATTACTAAACTCTAATTATTAAACAGGTTCATTTTGATGGCTGGGACCACAAATATGACTATTGGATGGATGCAGATAGCCCTGACATTCACCCAGTTGGATGGTGTGGTGTAACAGGGCATCCACTGGAAAGGCCATATCGTAAGTATTTTGTCTTTGTTGTTGCTTTTTAAATACTTAGCCTGAATTCCTACCTTAAGGTTATTTTTATGTCATTGTAAATATTTGAAAGCTAAATATCAGATAAGTGAATTGATTAATCACCTCTATAGCTAAGCTGAAAGCCAGTTACTCACAATTAAGCCTCAAAGGGCATACTTCGTATAAATGAAAAGTTATAATCATTAAGAAATTACTTTAATTTTGTTATCGAAAGGAATTTTCATTTTTTACATTTTAGTTGAGAAAATGGAGCCAGACATAAACCCATCTAATTTTAGCCATTGCTTTTAGATGAAGTATGTTTTGATTTTTTAAACGTTCCATCTTGGAACGTTTACAAAACGTTGGATTACAAAATATTTTAGGAAAAAAACAAATATTTTAAATTTCAGAAGTTAAAAATTTAGTTGTAAAAATTTCATAAAACCTTCTATTTTACTGATATGTTCATTATTTCTGTCTTTCTAGCTACTTAAAGTTAAGGAGGAAGTTAACCACCCAAAATTCCAATGAACCTCAAACTAAAATATCTTATTCTTTGTCTGAAGTATTCCTCTGATCAAAATAGGCTGTCATGGCTAATAACTAGTTTTAAACACAATGCAAGCACTCTCCATTCTTGGGTTTGTTTTGTTTCCTCACTGCTTCTATTACCCTCCCTTTGGCTTCTTGGGATGAAGCTAGCAAGTTATTCTATTAATGAAGATGTCTTACACTGAGCCAGCCCAGTGATGCTTGAACTCTAGATCTAAAAGGACTAACTACATCTTGAAAGAATTCCTTAACTTTTGTAGAAGTGAGAAGAGTCCCCGAATTAATAACTTGAGAAGCATTTTTACGTTTCGTTAGGTTCTTTGAAAACCACAAACTCAATAAGATAATAGGTCCTTGTGTGACTTACAGTCCCTCAACAATCGTAGAGTCTGTAGAAAGAATGTACAATAAGGAGACTGGTGGGAGAGAAGTGTAAGCATTTGTACTTTGTGGTTTCTCTGGTCCCACCTTTTACTCTCCTGATTTCACACCCCAGCATGCCAGGAAAATGGTTCTCACTTTATCTTAACCAACCCCCCCCCTCCACACACACACACATTGGTCTCTCATCCCAGTAACCTTCTCAAGTAGGAATGATTTAAACGGAGGTAGGGGTGGGTCAGCCCTTTTCACTCCACTTTGCCCGTTGCCTACTCTAGTCAAGGTGCCTACCTGGCTTCTTGACCTGAATATTTCATAAGTATTCTGAAGCCTATGGATCAAAACTTAACATCATCCCAAGCCAAAATCTTGCTTTTCTACTATAGTTTCTACTTGCTTCCAAAGCTCTCACTTCTTATTCGAAGTCATTCTGGACTCCACTCCCTCCTTACCCATTCCTCACCCCTCTCATACAACTAGTCGTTTAGTCTTGCTGATTCTCTTTCTTAATTTCTCCAGTGCCCATCTTTGACTCCCACTCCTCCCTCCCAACTCCATCACACGGTCTGCACTCTCACTGTACTTATAAATAGTTCGTAGAATATGATCTGCAGTCTGCAAGTGAGCTGCACAGATCCTCCTTGAAGAGTCTAGAATGGGTTTAAAAATTTAGGTTCTAGAAGCAGTATAGCCTAGTCATTACATGTGTGAAATGTGGAGTCAGAATGCTTGGATTTGAAAGTCAGTTTCACTGCTTGCTTAACCGTGTGTCTCTATGTGCTTGTGTCCTCATCTGTAAAATGGAGATAATAATAGTATGTCTGTCTCATAAATTTATAATGATGAAATGAGGTCACTATATGCACAGCATTTCAAAAACTGCCTGGCCTATATTATGTGCTCAATGTTGGTTGCTATCAGGACATTATATAACATTCTATAGATTCTCATTTTGATACAAAACTATGTGAATTATTAAGGACTACAAAATTTGAAATTTTGGTAAACAATATGTGACTAGAGTTTTCAAAATATTTTGAAATATTCAATTTCGTTTGTTTTACTTCTATGTGTTGGCAATATTATAAGATTACTATTTTGTGTACTCACACTCAGGTGATTGGAATCCCTGTAATTTGGGAGGAAGATAACTTGCAATTGGCTGTCTCAAGTTGGTCATGATATTCTCTTACTGCTGTGCTTGCTTGTTATAAATTTTTTTTGGAATTAATCATTATAATGTGGTTTATTGTCGGTTTCTCAGCTAATTTCATGGTTTATAATTATTTGTATATGTATCATTCGTCTTACTAATTTTTAAATATCAAGACTTTTCAAGACATGCTTATAATATAGTTCAATATATAACGTCCATGTCCCTATTGTTAAAGCAAAAATTCACAGAAACACACACACAATTCCACTCCAGAATTTATTCTGTTATTTATTTGTCACTGAATTCTTTTCCCACTGGAAAGTAGAAACAAATGGTTAGTCTAGGTACTAAAACAGAACAAAGTTTGAGAGTCTAGCATTGACTATTGTCACAGCTTCACAACTCTCTTTTCTTGTTTCCTCCCTGTACTAGTCTGTATAAAACCCAAATTGTACCTCATTTTCTTCATATTCAATAATTTATAATATTCAATCACTAAGGCCTAATAAAAGTTCTTGAATAGGAAAGCCTCTCGAGTGTGAAAACTTGAACATTCCCATTTAACTAGGAAGAGTGCCAGTTTGTGTGGCCAGGTAATGACAGTTTCTGCTTAGCTACCATTCCCAGCCACAGATGCTTGCCTGCAGGTTGCCCTGTATCCCACTGCCGGATTAAACTTTCCTTTTCTCATTCCATGAGGGCACAATTCGTCTGTTTTACCTAATGTATAGTCCTTCATGGTCGACTTCTACTACACTTAGAGTCAAAATTAAATGCTTAAGATTTAGCACTATTTAGTTTTCAAGATCTTTCTTTCATGCTTTGCATTTCATGAATGTCCTTAAAAAGATATGAAAATATCTGAACGAAAAAACCATGACTACTTTGGTCATTTAGTTGATTCCCTTCTGGCAGTCTTTTTAGTCATATAATTTGGAAACTAATCCCAGTCACATTTGTTGTTAAATTTCTTAAATAGAGCTCATTTCCTCCCCTATATTATTAGTTATCTGCCCACAGATTACCTACTCCACTGAGCAATGCAATGTCTAATATGTCTTGCTTTGGAAATTAACCAAGCTTGAGAAGACGATGGACTTTGGAGTTAGAAAAACTTGGATTTAAATTTCTATTCTGCTCTGACTGACTCTATGCCTTTGGGCAAGTTACTTGACCTCTGGAACTTGCAGACTTGTGAGATTAAATACCTTAATGGCTGCTTTCAGTTATCTGGTGCACAGTGGCCCTTCAGTTAAATAGTAGGGTTGGGGTGAAGAGCACAGGCACATTTCTCATCTTTGATCCAGAAAATTGAGAGTTGACTTTATTTACTGAAACTTGCACAACGAATATGATTTTTTCCCTAGGTACTGTTATAATTGCACTATCCATAAAGGGGTTGCTGATCATTGAGTGAATATAGAATAACATCTGGACAGTTTGAAACATTTAGAATTATTGATTTAGGCTTAAGATAAGCAGGCCCCATAAGCCCCGTTGTGTTGAGAACTAAAGAACTAATTTTTTAAAAAAATCTGAACATATTGTTTCAGTTCTTTACCCAATTCTGATGTTGTCTGGGTTCTTTCCTCATATCAAGCAATTCTCTGACACCAGCCAGATGTCCTATAATTCAGCTCCATTCTGACACTATCTACCCAAAGATAGCATCATATTCCACAGGTGAAGGGCTCAGAGCCACAAAACTGGCTCCACTTCAGATGCCAATCACAAGTTACTCTTTCTTCTGAAAAACTGCCTATAAATCAGAGGTTTCCACAACCCCTTCCTTGGGTTCAATTAATTTGCTAGAGCGGCTCACAGCATTCTGGAAACCAGTTATGAAGAGAAATGTCAGATGAGGTCCTGAACAAAAGAGCCTCTGTCTTTGTGAAGTTTGGAACCCAGCATGTTGGTATGTGCATATGTTCTGATTCACTAACCCAGAAGCTGTCAAGATCTCATCCTGGGTTTTTATGGAGGCTTTATTACACAGGCATGATTAATTAAATCATTGTCCATTGAGGGTTGAACTCAGTCTCTAGCCTCTCTCTTCTCCTCAGAGATCCAGGGGCGGGACTAAAAGTTCAACCTTGTAATCACATGGTTGGCTCCACAGGCAACCATTGCTCATTCTTAGGTGCTTTCCAAAAGTAGTCATCTTACTAACATAACAAAAGATACCTTTATTGCTCTCAGCACAGGAAATTCCAAGGGTTTTAGGAGCTCTGTTCCAGGATGGGGATGAAAACTAAATATATATTTCTTATTATAAATCACAATTAGAACAATTATGAATATACCACCAGTGAAATGAAATTATTCTCATTGAGCTGTTCTATAGCTTTCTAGTTGTCAAATCAAATGGATGTAACCAGTTCTCATAGGAGCCTTCTCTGCTAAGTACAATTTATCATTCCGTTGTCCCTGTTTTAGGCAGTGGTACTTTCCCAAGGTCTCCTTCTGTCTCTCTTCTTAGTCTGCACTTAGGGCTCCTCTGCCTCTGGGTGGGGTGAGTGCCTAGTGCTAATCCTTTTAGCATTTGGGCCAAGAAGATGAAGTCCTTTGCAGTTAAGAGTCACTTCCTTTCCAAAACTTGTCTGATATCCTAGGGGAGATGAGATCTCTCTTCATCCTTCTCATCCTACAGTATTTTGTCCTCTCTTCTGTTCTGTGAGTTACATTTATTTTTCTTGCCACTCTCATGCCCAGAACCCTCTAGTGGCTTCCTGTCTCACACAGTTTGTTTCAAAGTGCTTACTCTCATTGGAAAACTATCCCCTAGAAGCTCCTATGAGGATTTTTGCTCTTGTTATTGCTTATTCAGGGCCGGCCAGCAGCACTGGCCTTGCTCTATCTCCAGCACACCAGCTTCTGCCTCTGCTGTTCCCTTGGCTTGGAGCTTTGT